ACAACCAGAAATCAGACTTGGTGATCGTTGAAGGGAACCTGACAGCCAGCGTTACATCAACCACGTATTACAGCCTCACCTTCTCCCGATTATTGACCAACAGACACAGATTTTTCAACCAGACAACGCCCGGCCTCATACTGCGTGCAACAATGAACTTTCTGCAGAATTCCAACGTCAATGTCTTGCCATAGCCCTCTAAATCACCAGACCTCAACCCTATTGAACACCTGTGGGATACTCTGGGTCGGCGTGCGTGCGTCAACGTCAGCCGCCGCCACAGACGCTGCAACAGCTTCGGCGTTGCACTGCAGGAGGAGTGGAGAGCCATTCCCCAGGAAAGAATCCGGCGTCTTATCCGTTCTTGTCCAAGGAGATGCCGTGCAGTGATTGCAGCTCGTGGTGCTCATACGAGATACTGAGAAAGACGCCCCCCTGGTGACAAACTGGTGTCTGTGAGATGACTTTTGAAATGACAATTTTAAACATGCCCATCTTGGTTATTATTCTGCCAAATTTCAGACTTCTGTCTTAAATAATAAAAATGCTGTGTCGTCTTAAAACTTCAGATCAAAATCTCTAAAATACAGGGGTTGCGTTTCTTTTTTGACAGAGTTTATATGGGAAGATGAGGTAATATAGAGCAGGGTGAGGTAATATAGGGCAGGATGAGGTAATATAGGGCAGGGTGAGGTAATATATAGCAGGGTGAGGTAATATAGGGCAGGGTGAGGTAATATAGGGCAGGGTGTGTGAAATAATGTTGGGTAGGGTGAGGTAGTGCACTTGCTTGATAACAGTGTTAGCAGCTACACCCAAACATCGCATTTATCGCAATAAAGAAGTTGTCTATCCATAAAATATGTTCCTCTTCATCATACCAGCATGTTAATGCCACAAAGTTGTCTCTTTGTTGTTTAATGTTGCAGTCAGCGATGTTCCACTACAGACCATCAGTCTGTAAATAAACAAATCACGAGCTGCTGGTATAAGCACACAGTTCGATGTTACAAGCACACTGTTGGATATGATGACATGCAATAGACCAATTCTCTGAGTCTGACCAACCAATCCCTTTAATCCCCTCCCCAGCATTGGTTGCTGGGGACCAGTTCTAACCCAGATTCACAACGGCTACAGCTGACTTGGAATGAAGGTGCTAGACAGACATGTCTCTATGAGTTATCACAAATTGGCAACATTTCCTACTATAAATACCAAGATGTCAACAGTTGAGCTATTTACATGAACAAACCGTGATAACCCTGCTTATCTCTGCTCTGGGGTGAGGCAATCCTGGGACTTATCTTCACATGTGATGGTTTTAGAGTCTGACTTTGTAAACATTTGGGCCATTTAACCAAGTTTCTAAATGCATCATAATATGTTGAACATCGTTCCAATAGAGTTTGAAAATAAACCTCGAGGTTTATATTTATGCTATGATGATTGCGTGATGATAGCAATGAAAACAGTTACGGCAGTGTCTGTGGACTGGTGAGAAATGGGTTAACTGCTGATGGCAAATCTTAGGTATTTTATCAGTATACTGTGTATATGAAGTACTATGAAATACTTTGCAAACATTTGAACAAAATAAATGAATATTTACATCCTTTACATAGACTTTAGCATGGTTCAGAAAGGTCCTCGGTGATTATAAATCCCTGCCTGTCCATCTTGATCAAAGAACTTCTGGGGCTGTGGGGTAGTCTAGTGGTTAATGTGTTCACTCGTCACGCTGAAGGCCAGGGTTTGATTCCCCCACATGGGCACAATGTGTGAAGCCCATTTCAGGAGTCCCCCATCGTGATATTGCTGGAATATTGCTAAAAGCAGCGCAAAACTAAACTCAATAAATGACTTCTTCCCAAGTACACCTTGCTTTACTCCCAGCTGTGAACCTAGTACACCTTAGCTCCTTCCCTGCTGTAGGCCTTGCTTGTCTCCATGTGACATCAGAACATCTGTCCTGTAACCCTGTGGAGGACCAGGCCTTGGCCCAAATGATCTTTACTTTCCATGCTGAGGAAGTTTGGTTGAAACATCCTATCCAAATTGCATAGATCGATGTTTATGATGTCATTCATTGGATTGTCTGGTCTAGACCAGGCCTTGTCCCAAATGATCTTTACTTTCCATGCTGAGGAAGTTTGGTTGACACATCCTGTCCAAATTGCATAGATTGATGTTTATGATGTCATTCATTGGATTGTCTGGTCTAGACTCGATTATTTACACACCGATGTCATATAAAGGAAAACCAAGTTCTATGGATAGTCAGCTAACACCATTATCAAGCAAGTGATACAAAAAGTTGTAGCAAGAATCTATACATAGCTGCATAGTGAGTATATACAATTGACAAGGTTGAATATACATTGGATTGCTAATTAGTGATTTGAGCAGAGTAGGTTGATGTACAGAGTGATAGTGATTAAAACAATATGCAGAATGAGTTTATACAATAGATGAGTTGATGTACACTGAGATGGTAATGTGAGATGAAGAGAGTAGGTTGATGTACACATTGATTGGTTGGGATTACAATACACAAAAGGGGAGCATGGAAGCCAGTTGGACAAGGTATGGGTGAATTACTGGTGAAAAGAAATGATGTCTTGTAGCTGGAGAATTGCTGAGTAGAACAGTAAACAACAAACTAACAAAACCAAATAAACTACTGAAAAATAAGGTACCCGTGAAGATATGATTAGAATTGGTCTTCAGTAACCCATGCTTGTCGTAAGAGGCGACTAACGGGATCGGGTGGTCAGGTTCGCTGACTTGGTTGACACATGTCATCTGTTCAAATTGCGTAGATTGATTCTCATGCTGTTGATCACTGGATTGTCTGGGCCAGACTCGATTATTTACAGACCGCCTCCATATAGCTGGAATATTGCTGAGTATGGCGTAATACTAAACTCACTCACTTAAGTTTCAGGTAATCAGACCTTTACTTCTGTTTAAACCTTTTTGTTAAAGCTGGTGAACACACTGATGTCAATGGCTGGATTGTCTGGTCCAGTTTCGATTATTTACAGACCGCTGCCGTATAGCTGCAGAATTGCAGAGTAGGGCATTAAACAACCAACAAAAATAAACAACCTGAAAATTAAGGAATTAAGTTTTTAAGAGCATAACCATTAAGCATTAATGTGGCTGTTCGTGACTCTTTCATCTAAGGTGTTGAATTCATCTTGATTGTGATTCTTGTTTCGTTTGCCAAGAACAATGACTGAAGTGGGGTGAAGGTGCTGAACAGATCTATATGAGTTGTCACAAATTGGCAACATTTCCTACTATAAATACCAAACTGTCAACACTTAGGTTATTTACAAGGAAACATTGTTAGCAACAAATCCAGGTTCATGTGTTTTTACCAATACTGAGCACTTTAGTGAGTGAGTGAGTGAGTTGGGGTTCATGCTGCTTTAAGCAGTATTCTAGCAATATCACAGTGGGGGACACCAGAAATAAGCTTCACATTGTGTCCAACGCCCTTAGAGCACTTTAGGCTTTCATACCAAAGGCTGACATGCAGTGCAATACAAAGGAGCGTTAAAACCTCAGAACAGCTTGTTTACTCCATGGAAAGACAGAAAGGTTGAAAAAATTACATTTGTGTGAGATTTGTTATGAGAAACACTGAGAAGTATTTGTGGCTGACAAACAAAGAAACCCATAAATATGATAAATATGTTATATATATTTTGGTCTCCATGGATACAAAATCTGGTGTAACTGCCTTATAATGAATGACTGGTTCTTACTGCATTTTACATGGGCTCTTTTAACTTGGCAAATAAATTGTATTGTACTCTATTGAAATTCAGGTACCCACATTGCAAATATTTTGAGAGCTAAAGTGTTTGTCAGTGAGTGACTCTGATTGTACACACAGATCTTATTTTCTACATATTAAGGCACTAAAAGTAAATGTTATGTTTCTGATAACAGTAATCTTACAGTTTTATAGTTAGACATTCTTTTTTCATTTTTGTACATAGAGAATCTCACCCGAGTATCTTTTGATATCAAATATATCACCACGAGTGGATAAAGTAACAAATATCCAAGGCTTGCCGAGGATATTTTTTACTTTTATCAACGAGTGTTGATATATTTGATATCAGAAGACAAGAGGGCGAGATTCTATTTATCATAAAAAATCAATCTTCATTAGTTTTCAATGAAAAATGTACATCTCTGAACACTGTTTTGCCATTAGATTTGCAGTGCAGTGATGTCATAGCATTGTGACATCATCAAGTTCATGATGTCATAGCATTCATAGCATTGTCACGGCAAAATCTACTGTCTGATCTGATCTCACACAAGCGTAACTCCTGTGGAACACAGTTTTGGATGATAAAATACTGTATGGTACATTTTACCATTTTGTCAGCATACTGTACACTACGAAGGGAGACATTGGTTGTCAATGAAAGTCTGTGTAGATTTTAACTAAAACCATAGAAAAGAAACGCTTATTTTCTTCTTTTACCCAATATACCAGTTCAAAAGATATTGCAATATATATATGATCTGAAAAGTGTATTGTATATCAGTAATACCATGCAGTCCTACTTGTTCCTGACGGTGCTACTCTGTTAATTGTGATGAAATTGTCTTAACTTTGCACAGCAAGTGTTTTTAACCAACAGCGCTGTTGAGTTTACTCCTTTAGTTTGACCATCCATTAACACAAGGTTCAGTTAGACAAACCAGGACACACGTGCTGACATCCTAACAACTAGTTCTGACTAGTGGTGTTGCAGCCTCACTGTATGGTGTGCATGTTGCTTCTGTTGCTGATCCCAGTGTTTACATCTCCATGGAGAGAAACACATGCAGTCTTGTGACACATGTCAACAAATGTTTGGTGCAGGTTCATTTCTAAAAAACAATATCCTAAAGAGAGCCTGTTTTCTCACATGTATACAGTTTTCCGACAGCTGTTTTGTTATTGAGTTCCCACCCAGCTCCTCCCTCCCTCACTCACTCGCCACTTCTTCCATTCCTTGCTCCTCCCTCTCCTTCCATTCCTTGCTCCTCCCTCCCCTTGTTCCATTCCTTGCTCCTCGCTCCCTTCCATTCCTTGCTCCTCCCTCCCCTTCTTCCATTCCTTGCTCCTCCCTCCTCTCCTTCCATTCCTTGCTCCTCCCTCCCTTCCATTCCTTGCTCCTCCCTCCCCTTGTTCCATTCCTTGCTCCTCCCTCCCTTCCATTCCTTGCTCCTCCCTCCCCTTCTTTCATTCCTTGCTCCTCCCTCCCCTCCCTTCTTCCATTCCTTGCTCCTCCCTCCCCTTCTTCCATTACTTCCTCCTCCCTCCTTTTTTCACTCCCCCTCCTTCATCTTTCCATCCAGGAAATGTTTTGTTAACATTACACCATAGCGTCACAGCAACATTTAAAAACATTATTTTGTACTGTTGCCCCAACAGAAAAGAAATATTGTGACAATATTTGACCAACAGTTTTGCATGCTGGTCTTGAAGTATGGGATATCAATGTCTATTTACGTCAAAGCTCAAACTTTTAGTTTCTTTTCATTGTTAAAACAGACACTGTGGAATATTTACCAGCATGATTTTGTAAACTGATTAATATAAGTTTGACAGGGTCTGAACTGATGTTTTACTAGGCCTCTACCAGCATTTGTAGTCATACGTTATAATAAGATATTATGGCTCTTGGTATAACAGACACTGGTTATTGTGAACAGAATGTAAACAAATCATCTGAAACCACAAAGTTTAGAAAGCTGAAACTTTGAGCAAATGCTAATAGTGATAATTGAGTAGTTTGACATATGTTCATGTCATCAGAACTGACAACCACTGTTGCCACCAATGCAAGTTGAAAAAAAAGTGAGTTTTCTTTTTCACAAAAAAACGAATCAAATGTGATTAAATTAAGCAGAAGGGGTTTGAAGATTGGAAAGTTGTCAAAATTAGTTAAACCCAAATAGTTAAACCAAAAAAGGAGACCTATTGAAGTTTCTGTTTATCAGGGGCCACACTAACCTCAGATCTGAACATTGCCTCGGGACAGGTGTGCTAACATTTGTGAGAATATTTCTTACTTTATTCTACTTACTCAAAAGAGGCAGTAGGTTGCAGTGACATAGATGCTAGACCACTCACTCATATATTGACCTCACTCACTCACTCACTCATTCACTCATATGTTGACCTCACTCACTCATTCCTTCACTCATATATTGACTCACTCACTCATTCACTCGCATGTTGACCTCACTCACTCATTCCTTCACTCATATATTGACCTCATTCACTCATATATTGACCTCATTCACTCATATATTGACCTCACTCACTCATATATTGACCTCACTCTCACTCACTCATTCACTCATATATTGACCTCATTCTCACTCACTCATATATTGACCTCACCCTCCCTCCCACCCTCACTCCCACACTCACACCCACCCTCACTCACTCACTCCCTCTCACGCTCCTTCACACACTCCTTCCCACCCTCATTTCCTCACTCACTCACTCAAATAGAGATCCAGCTGAAACAGATACGCACATCTGGTACTGGAAAATATAAAAGAAGATTAAACATTTCAGAACCAGAACATGCTTTCCATGAAAGTATTAAGTTTCATGTAGGTTGGCTCATGTGATATTTGTATACTTCCATGTTTTCTCAGACCTGGTTATATTACTGACTCCAGCCCCAAAGTCAGTAACTTGCAGAAACAAGGGCCATGCCAAAACAGTATATCATGGGTCACATAATCCTGTAATTTTAAAAAATCGGACATAAATATTGAAACTTGACAGCTGATGTTTTGCTTCCCAACACACTGGGAATATTACAATAATCAAATAATTCAATTAAACGAACATTCGGTGGTCTCAGTGCCCCAAGACAACGCTCTATGACGCGCTGCATCTGAAGCAGTCAGTAACATCACACAAATTACCTGGATGTCTCTATTTTGGTTGGAAGCTCACATCTCCTGTGAATTGAAATCAATAGTGATTAGCACTGTAGTGTTCTGTCACATCACGGGAGAACCGCTTACAGTCGCAACAACATACTGATGATGTATGAGTGAGTGGTTGAATGAGTGAGTGGATAAGTTGTTGTGTGAGTGAGCTTTTGAGTGAGTGGTAGCATGAGTGAGTGGTTGAGTGAGTGGATGAGTGAGCAGTTGCATGAGTGTGGTTGAGGGAGCGGGTGAGTGAGGGAGGATGAGTGAGTGGTTGATTGAGGGAGTGAGTGAGAGATTTGGTGAGTGAGTGGGTGAGTGAGTGAGTAAGGAAGTGAGTGATAGGTTGGATGAGTGAGTGGATGAGTGAGGGAGTGAGTGATAGGTTTGGTTTAGGGAGTGGTTGAGTGAGGGAGCGGCTGAGTGAGTGAGAGGTTGAATGAGTGAGTGAGTGGTTGAACGGTTAAGTGAGTGAGAGGTTGGGTGAGTGAGGGAGTGAGTGAGAGGTTGGGTGAGTGAGTGGGTGAGTGAGGTTGAGAGAGAGTAGATGAATCAGTGGTTGAGTGAGTGAGTAGATGAGAGTGGTTAAGCGAGTGAGTAGATGAGTGAGGGAGTAGATGAGTGATTTGATGAGTGAGGGAGTGGGAGAGTGAGTGGCTGGATGGGTCAATAAGTGGATGAGTGAGTGGTTGAGTCAATGGTTGAGTGTGTGAGTGAATAAGTGGTTGAGCTAATGACTGGTTGAATGAGTGGATGGGTGAATGTTTCAATGAGTGAATGGGTGAGTGTTTGAATGAGTGAGTGAGTGGTTGAGTGGTTAATTGAGTGAGAGGTTGGGTGAGTGAGGGAGTGAGTGAGAGGTTGGGTGAGTGAGTGAGTGGTTGAGTGAGAGGTTGAGTGAGAGAGTAGATGAATCAGTGGTTGAGTGAGAGTAGATGAGAGTGGTTAAGCGAGTGAGTAGATGAGTGAGGGAGTGGGTGAGTGAGTGGATGGATGAGTCAATAAGTGGATGAGTGAGTGGTTGAGTCAATGGTTGAGTGTGTGAGTGAATAAGTGGTTGAGCTAATGACTGGTTGAATGAGTGGATGGGTGAGTGTTTGAATGAGTGGATGGGTGAGTGTTTGAATGAGTGGATGGGTGAGTCAGTGGATGAGTGAGTGTTTGAATGAGTGGATTGGTGAGTCAGGGGATGAGTGAGTCAGGGAATTAGTGGTTGAATGTGTAAGTGGAGGAGTCAGTGGTTGAGTGAGTGTTTGAATGAGTGGATGGTGAGTCAGTGGATGAGTGAGGGAGGGAATAAGTGGTTGAATGAGTGGGTAAGTTGAGGAGTCAGTGGTTGAGTGAGTGAGTGGTTGAAGGAGTGGATGGGTGAGTGGTTCAGTGAATGGTTGAGTGAGTCAGTGAATGAGTGAGTATCATCTGCATCCTAATGCTGTGTCTCTGCTGTCTCACACCCAGATCAAGGTGGTGTTACAAGACTTCCAGGGACAGTGGGGCTAGCCTCCTTGTTAAAGCATTTGCTTTTCACACTGAAAGCCAATGGTTTCATTCCTCTCATGGATAGAATTTGTGAAAACCACTTCTCATGTCCCCAGCTGTGGTGATGCTGGAATGTTGCTAAATGTGTAAAACAAGACTCACTCCTAAGACTCACTCATTCCTAATCCTTTCACATGGAAGTTAAAGTCATGAGCTAATCATCTAGCTGGGTAATGAAGCGGAAGAGCCATATTTCTAGCTTGATTCATGACATGGCTGACATGCTCTTGTTATGCACATGAATATTATGACCCAAGGACCATGACTGCTGGGTTTCCACTCCCACCCACAATGAGTTGTCAAAGCTAAAACTGTGCAAACAATCGACACAGGAAAGGAAGCACCACACTGCATGCATGTCTCTGTAGCCTGACATTTTAAACAATATCTAATAGCTGAAGAATCAATCTTTACTGATTTCTAATATTTTGTATTCTTAACCTGAATCCCCACAGGGAGACAAGCATTGGTTGCTAGGGACCTATATTCTTAATCTCAATCCCCACAGGGAGACAAGCATTGGTTGCTAGGGACCTATATTCTTAACCTGAATCCCCACAGGGAGACAAGCATTGGTTGCTAGGGACCTGTATTCTTAACCTGAATCCCCACAGAGAGACAAGCAACGGTTGCTAGGGACCTATATTCTTAACCTGAATCCCAAAGGGAGACAAGAATTGCATACAGGGGACCTGTACTCTTAACCTGAATCCCACAGGAAGACAAGCATTGGTTGGTAGGGACCTGTACTCTTAACCTGAATCCCACAGGAAGACAAGCATTGGTTGCTAGGGACCTATATTCTTAATCTCAATCCCCACAGGGAGACAAGCATTGGTTGCTAGGGACCTATATTCTTAACCTGAATCCCCACAGGGAGACAAGCATTGGTTGCTAGGGACCTATATTCTTAACCTGAATCTCCACAGGGAGACAAGCATTGGTTGCTAGGGACCTATATTCTTAACCTGAATCCCCACAAGGAGACAAGCATCGTTTGCAGGGGACCTGTATTCTTGATCTGAATCCCACAGGGAGACAAGATATTGGGATTGAGGACCTGATAATATTCAGTGGTCCTGAGAATAGAGAACAGTTAAGATTTTATGAATGCTTCTGTTAATTTCCGATTATGTTCAACATAATGGCTGCAGCAAAAAGAATGTTCTCATGACTAATCGTGTGACGATTCATCAATCGATGCATGGGCCGCAGATACAGGGAATTGATGCAAAGTTTTACATTGTTGTATATCCCGATGCGATATCACGATACTTCAAATATGCCACGATACATCGATGTTTAACTTTGAATACTGAATCAATGATGAAAAAACACTTATTTTGTTTGATGATTATACTAAATGCACACTTATTTTCCCTTTATATGTAAACGTTTCTTCAGACATTCTTGTGTCAAGAACTGTGTCAGACATAGCGCTCACATGTTATTAACATTCACAAAGTCTGTGTATAAACTGAATTATCTCGTTTCCGAATGAACATTGAACAACGATGCTGTTAAAGGGGAAGTGTACACGAATAAATCACATTTATTCTTATGTGAATCAAAGTGAACTGTTTTAATCAGTTAATACCAATGTTTGAAAATATACACTCATATTTCTTACAATGTAGGTATAACCATCAAAATAAATGCTGAAATGTTATGCCAAAATGAGGCCTTTGTTTGCCGAGCTAAACAGGCCAGAGTTACCGCCCTTTGATTATGACGTAATTGGTGCCACTTGATTTTAAACTGGTCTCCTGTCTAGTCTCAAATCAAAAGATAATAATACTGAAATTAAAAA